CGCGGATCCGATTTTCTCAGTTTCTTCGTCACTTTTCACCAGTCCTTTCTTTTCTTTTTTTTCGTTTTTTTTTTTTTTTTTTTTTTTCTTTTTTAACTCTCTGAAGCACTGTTTATTCTGCATTATAAATCATGTAGCCGTGATTTTGCACTTAACGAAAAAGTGGCTAAGAAAGTGTTAATATACCAGTGTCTCGGGCACACCTGCCTTCTAAAATCTCATCCTTGCCAATTACGCCAACGATCCTCCAACAAACTCCCAGACAGTTTTTCCCAATTACCAAAAGAAAAAGAAACTTCTTAAGTACAATCATTTATCACTACGAGAATCGCGAGTATCCACCCCCTGTCCTTAAAATTCTCTGCACGAACACACGCCCTCGTTCTTCTCGTCAAAGTTTTGTATTTGAACGGAAGAGGAAAAAATGCTTAATAGACAATAATACACTTGGGAATGACGTAACAAATACGTTTAGTTAAATGAGTCAGTTCAAGGTAATAAACGAGTAAGAATATTCTTCATAAATGTATAATGGCAATGAATACAAAATCGAAACATGTTCCGTATTTTTCAAACGAGTACCAAATGTACTCTGTGTATTCTTCGCTTCTAATTTTTAATTGCACTTGTGACCACTCTAATTAAACACAAACAAATGAAATAAAAAATTTTATTCAGCTCGTTATTTCAATGACCATTGTTGCACTGTCGTAATTCTAAATGGACACAAAGTAAATAATAAATAAATATTTTGTTTAACTTATTATTTCAATTCAACTGATTTCATTTCACTCGCTGTGACAAATCAACTAGAAATTTTACTCGACTCGTTATTTCAATAAATGTTTATTGCTGCGATAATTCTAAATTGACAAAAAATAAATAATAACAAATAAAATAAATATTGTAGTTGACTCATTACTTCGATAATGTCAAATGCTCTCGGTAAGCAATGGACAGAAACGGGTGGGCGGAATCTTGAAGAAGTTGATAAGGAAAAGAGGCAGAAAAGACTGTATCGCCGAAAGAGCTTTAGTGCGAGTCCTTCGTGTACTAATTCTTTGGAAGGCCTTAGTAAAAGGTCGAATAAATCATCAGCAAATGAGGTTGGACTAGTTGTAATTGTTCCGCCTATACATCGAGTCGAATGAGGGGATGTCAGGGACGATTGCCATGGGAACCGGAAGATAGTAGGGCTACATCGTGCAAAACGCCCGTGTCGTGTTCTCCATTACAATCATGTAATCGTCGTAAACATCGTTATTTCAGTATAAACCGCGATAATCGAAATTTGGAAATTTGCTTTCGTACGTGAGCGGAATTTGATTTCGCAACAGAATCGATTCCGCACAGCGATGCGAGGGTGGTTTCGAGAACTCGGCTTTCCTTCTTCTCTAATATCTGATTATTGAAATATCGAAGTATTTAAATGTTGGAATATCCAAATGTACAAATATCTCCGTATTCAAATGTTCAAATTTGAACTAGATTTTCAAGCGTACAAATTAAAACGTTCAAATATTGAAATAATTTCTCTTTAACTTTTAATTTTAATTTCGAAATATTCAAACTTTCGAATCTTTAAATCTCTAATAACATTTCGAATAAATTTAAATACCTCGATATCCTCAACAAACATTCATTCATTGTTCATTTGATTTATTTCATTATTATTACTCAAATTTCCAAATCTTTAAATTTCCAATAAATCTAGATATCTGTATCTCTAAATATCTATTTCAGTTAAATAAATATCTCTAGCCGCAATTCCTCCAATATTCACAGAGTCCACATCTCCGTTATGTAATAATGCGTAACAATTAAACTATATAACAAAACTATAATTAAATAACTTTTGTATTAAATTTAATAACTATATATTAAATAACTAATTTAAATAACTATATATTGAATAACTAATTTAAATAACTATATATTGAATAACTAATTTAAATAACTATATATTAAATAACTAATTTAAATAACTATATATTTAATTATATAACAAAAAAATGCTCGAACGACATTGGCAGGGTGGCAAACGATTCGGTGGACGATTTTTCCTCCCTCCTGTCACCGATTCACCGCACTTTCAATGCCAGTGTCGTCGCCAAGGTCTACACCTCGCTCGCGTCCTTGGCGGTCTTCGAAAGGAGACCTAGAACGCGGATCATTTGCTGCCGCGATACAATAGATCCAAGGCCCATTGAACGGCGATATATCCGACGATACCGGGGACCAGGAATCTCCTCGCACGACTCATTTACGCGTAATTAAAACACCCACGCTGATTTGATCCCGCGGTCTAAGAGATTCCTAGGGTGCCGAAGCACTATCGGCGATTACGCTCCACCGTCGTGAAGGTGACCTTCGTCGGGCAAGGACGACAAGTCTGCGACAAGATCTCATCACGATGAGAATACCGCTCGGTCGATTCAATTCGGGCGTTTGTAAGAATTAATCGTGAAATTTTTTTTAGTGTTTTTCTTTTTTTTGACATCTGGAGTGTGCTCGAAGGGTGTGTCTTTTCGTATTAGAGCGGGATCTCGATTAATCAAGGTCTTGATTCATTGGGGTTTAAATTGTTTAGAGCGCCTGGTTTTACCTGTTTGCGTTACTCGACATTTGCTCGATTCATTTAAAATAATAACATAATTAAATAATAATTCGTTTAAAATTAATATTAATAAAATCGAATTAATAAAATAATAATTCATTTAAAAACATACGAAACACGAACATTCTTTATTCTCCCTCATTCACTGATTTCACACTTTTTCTTACCTGTTGAGTTTCTCAAGTTCCAAATCACGAAAACTTTCTCTGGTTTCGAGGGATTTCGAGGCTTCGAGTATCTTCAAATTCTCGACGAATGCATAAACATTCATAGTCTAGAAGTTACGATACTCCTAGCTAGTACTAGCGTCTAGAGTATTTATTTCTGGACTGCGTTCAGAGTCGGCATTGAGAACGAAAGGGTTAACAAATGACATTTAAGTTGAGTGCGAAAGGAGGGGAAAGGACAAAACTGAATGGAAGAAAAATCGACTCGGAAACATTATCGTCAAAATAACGATAGAAGAACCAAAGGTGAAGGTAAAGAGCACGCTTTTTGTCATGAGTCACGGTTAGATAAGGCTATCTAACACAGCCTTGCCCCACAAAACCAGAGATATTAGATATTAGACGGATGGACCTCCACGAACGATACCACTAACAATAAGTAACTGCACGACATAATCTGTTAGTCACGTCGACTTGGACACTGAAGCAGTATTTTGTTTGAAAAACTATAGACACGAGACAGCCTGTATAATCCGAGATTATCAAAAATAAAAGAAAAAGTGATATAATTCGCGACTCGGCAGCTGTTTTGTCGAAGAGAGGATGAAGTTCGAAGGGAAACGTCGTTTAATTGCCTTTATTAATGATCTATAACATAAACCGCGGTATAAATAATACATCATTATTATTACATACATATGTTACATTTTCTTACAGTCGCTTTAAACATGGAGGACGTACTCGTTGATGGTAACAGCGGTTGGAAAGTTCGCGTATTCACAAGGCTAAGCAAGTATCAAAACGAGAAGCCGATTATTTATTTGGAAAAGCGAAGAGAAAAAATTATACACATGGAATAATTCAATTTTCGGAATCCAAAAAAGATATAATTTCGTATTATATTCGTGATAAGTCATCACGTTTAATTTAATCAAACATTTATCTAATTACTTTTCTCATTTCACTTAATCTGTATACAAAATAAAAACATTTTTATACGCGTAATAACAATTGTTAAAATTGTCACATTTCGAACGAAATTTTTTCGAAATGTTTCCGCGATAAATGTAGAATTATGCACACAATGTGTTGTGTTCTTGCTTTGCACGATATCCATTGCATTTCCAACGTAGAGTACGTACCAAACTGTACATAGGGCATTTACATGTAGAGAGAACATTTTTACACGATAAATAGCGCGGTACGAACAATAGAAGAAATAGAAGTGACGAAACGAAAACAGTAACGATAATAAAGTAATAAAAATGGATTTCGGAGTGTCGACAGAGTTTCTAGCATATTTACACATGCAAATGAATGACTTTCGAATTAATGACGAGTACTTTGGTAACGAGATGACACAATTTACAGACGGATTTACATCTGAAATTGGAAAATAGCTCGCTGATTAGAAATACTCCCTTCCTACCTGGGCATTTCGTTAATTGGTAACTTCTTAATGATACAACTCCTCTCAGTCGTACGAAATCCCTTGTTCGTGTCCAGCAAGTACACGCTAAAAGAACACGAATTTCATTCTAAAACGAAAGAGTTTCGCAGAGAACAGGCACGAAACAATTTTTCTATATAGAAATATCCTCGCACTGCGACGTTATACAATAGTGACAGTTAGAGACAATTAATCTTATTGCTTGTTAAAAAAAAAAAACAAAAAATGTTTTACAAAACTGTGGGCGATGTGGTGGTGGATGATATGGACAGTAAAAAAAAAGGAAAAAAAACTCATGGCCAGGAAGACTATCATCTTGCTCCCCGTTGGAAGGTCTCTCTTCGGTAACTCTCGTTGCTGTTAATACAACATGTGGGTAGACTTTGACATACCTGTAAATGGAACAAATGTTTCAATGCGCTTTAAATGTATCATTTACATTTTTTCTAGTTAAAATTTTTCTGTCAATAACTTCTTAACGAAGAACAAGCGACGAGTAAAACCGTTTGAAGACTGCTCATTGTCAGGAGAGTGTCCTCCAACACAACATACATCAAGGTCAAGGTAATAGGGGCTGGATCCTCTTTTGTCAGCTCTTTATCAATGTCAATTTTTGGATCATTCGTTTCTTACGTTTCTAAATTGAAAAATAAGATCCGTGAATCCATTAATCACTGGCGAGATATTCCCTTTCGCAATGCCACTCGCTTCATAATTTCGTTCTCGCGATGCCTCCCGACAGTCAGTTATCTCGCGTGTCTTTTATCAGAATCGAGCGAAAATGTTGAAGGAAAGATGTCAAATATTGTTACTGCAACGCGTGATATTGCAGAGTCCTCTTCATTAACCCCTTGCGCTGGCAACTGATTCGCGGACCATAACGAGTGACCGAACCGTATACAATAATTCGTCGCTTTCTTTCCCTTTTTTTGATATCACTGGATAGAAACTATTGAGAAGCAATCAATTTGTCATTTGTTTTGCCTGGGTTACATTACAAATATACATAAAACTGAGAAAATGTGGCAATTTGAACAGAATTGTGTGAAGCACTGTCACAAGGCGAGATGTTCCATCGATGGCGTTGCAACAAAATTAAAATCCATCGAAAGCAACTCACCATGAAGGGTGGACGTATTTTGTAAAGAGCTCGACAGCGAGATCTCGGTCCCTGGATGTTCGTGTATCACCGTCTCGGTGATATTGTTTTCCGCCTCGGAATGCGCGCGACGATGCTCGCGTGTCATCCCGTCGTTCTTCCGCGTTCTCTTCTCCGTTCCCATGCAGCAACGCTGCTCCCTCTGCAACGTCATCTCCTGCGAGTAAACGGATTCCAGGTTGGAGAACGAGTTGCTGAACCGTTGCCGCCTCCTCGAGGTGGTTTGGTTCCCGCGTCTTCCGACCACATTCGGGGCGTCGTGGCTACCACGGGGCACCTCGCTGCACCTTTCGCGGCGTTGCAGAGACTTTAGAGAATCTTCGTATCCGCTGTGACGAGCCAAACATCGCGAAGTACAATTGGGAAATAAAATAATGGCGGAGACAAATAGAATGGTAAAAGAGATGAATAAATAAAATGAAATAAAATGTAATAAAATAAATAAAATAGAATAAAATAGAATAGAATAAAATAAAATAGAATAAAATAAAATAAAATAAAATAAAATAAATAAAATAGAACAAAATAAAATAAAACAAAATAAATAAAATAATATCTTTCCCTTCCTTTACAAGAATCGTGATCAAATTATAACAATTTATTCATTAATTTGGGCGCACGAAAATAGGCGCCGGATTAAACGTGTTAAAGAAATATATTTATTTGTCATTATTGTCGCATTTTTATTGCTTCGTAAAACGTAATGAAATTATGAAAATTTGTAAAACTACAAAGATTGTATTGCTAAAATCTAAACTTTTGTTTACTAAAACAGAATTAAACTACGAAAAGTCACAGAATTTCTTTGATAACCAAACTTGAAAAGACCATGAAACTATAAACTATAGAACTACGAAAATTATGTCGGATAATGAAACTTACAGTACAGTAAAATATTACAGGTGCATTTCTAGAGGTTAAAAATTGCAGCCAATAAAAGTTAAGACTTACTTTTTATTAACAGATGAAGCATGAAGCCTGCTCACTGTGCGATAGTTATAGCGTATTATTGAAACGAATTTGTTCGTAGAAAATGAAACGATATGTGTAGATGTATGTTTTGATGGGAAATTAGAATGTAGAAGTGAGAGTTTGTGATTGCGGGATTAACAGGGGATCATTGCATAAAGTTAATTGTTTCTTTTTTAGCTTGAATATAATTATTACATCATTACGAGCTAAGCTGGACAGAGATATTGAAGATGCATATAGATGCTAGATAGACAAGCAGAATAGAAAGAAGCCGACTCAAAGCGCCGTTAAAACTATGAGTTATGACATTAAGTCCGCCAAATAATAGACATTCTATCTTATATAAATTTAAATTTCTTCTATTAACATACGTATTTAATATTGCGTTTAATAGAACATTGGGTTACTAATTTTGACCCACATATTAACAAAGTTTGCTCATCACTGGTATAGATGTATATTACAATATCTATCATACGTGTATCTCTGTATAAAATCGACCTTAAAATTTACAGAAATTACTCGATTAATTTCAAGTTGAAAAGGACTATAGACATTTCTGGCGACGTCGAAACTCTAGGTTGAATTACATTCTGGTCATTACATTTGATTCCTCTTATGTTAAAAAAAAAAAAGAAAAAGAAAAACCTATGAAAATCTTCAGAAAACATGATTTTTAAAAAACACGTTAAAACGACAAAGTAACAAAATTCTCAATGTATATTTTTACGACTCGTTACGAACAAAAATATTGCAAAAGAAAAACTGTTTTCCACAAAACGACTCAACCGTGTTTTCGTTCATGCGTGGCCAGAGAGTAAAACGTAAAAAACGAAAAAAGAAAATGCCCGCCATTGTCCTTCGCTCATAATCCGAGCATCCCGCAGAGTCGATCATCTCGACTCATTAGAAATTCCTCGTCGGGGGCACCTCGCCGCAGACCAGGCGCGTAATCTTCTGGCACTTATCTATCCCAGCCCGCGACCAAGAGGAACAGCGACCAAAGCGATCGGATCGATCCGTCCGAACTCTCTTTTCAATTTAGATAGCACGAATAGCTCCGTAAGTAATTCGACTTACTTGCTGCTCTCGCCGCTGGAGGGGCTGGACGAGTGACTGCAGTGGCAGGAGGCGCGCGCCACGATCCCAGAATCCTGACCGCTGGAATGCAAGGACGTCGCGGATGCCTCGAGGCCTTTCGGGGTCCCTGTCGTCCTCCCGGCGTGCTTACTACAACCGCCCATCCTGCAACCACCCCCTTGCCTCTCTAGCATCGACATCGCGAAACATATGGGAATTCCCTGATACAGTGTCCCCTATATTCGCCGGCGAACCTTGTCCGCCAGCTTTCCACACTGGAATCCGGCCCCTTTCATAACAAATGCATGCCTTTCTGTCTGCCTATCACCGTTTTATTTAATTCCACGGCCGCTCGCGGCCAGACCGCCTTTTCTTGTTCCGCCGTTTCGAGCAAACTTTCCACCATTCGCAGAACCACCGTTCGCGGAGGGATGCAAGGTCAAGGGTCGCGAGTCTGTGGTTTCCCGTTGTCGCTAATGGATTGAAAACAGCACCAGACCGAGGAGGAGGTTGGTTTCTTCTGATTGGATCGGTTCGTCAGTTGCGAACGATCGGATGGATTTCGTTCGATCGTTTCGCTAAGGTTTCTGTGAGCGGTAATTGCGGATGGCGTGTCGGTGATCGAGACGTGTTGCGGTTTTTGTTTGTGGTTATTGAATTTTGACTGTCGTGTAGAACGGATCCCTGGTGATGTTTTAACACGTACAGCACGTGGAATTTTCTTTTTTTTTTTTTCTTTTTTTTTTTTTAATTCTTTTCTGTTCCTTTTTGCGTCTTTGTTTGCACGGTAATTCTCTGGACGTTAGTAAACTGGAAACTGTTCTCTAAACTTGTAACTTCGAGACATTAAGCTTGAACGTTATTTCGGAGACTTGTCTTTGTTCCTCGCGTTTCATAAACTCGCGTAGATTTTTTTTTTTTTTTTTTTTGCAAGACACGTTTCAAGAAATGACCTCATCTGCGATAGCTTGTCTGTATTCGATCACTTGAGCGTCATATTCGTATATCGTAAAATGAAATATTTCTTGAGAACTAACATTATTTTTCTCTCTCGATAATTTAGTAAGTAATGTAACAACCACAACATCCTTTATTGCGTGGTATTAATCGACATAAACTTATGTACGCCTAGTAGCTAATAGAGAGATCAAGAGCTGTCTGACCATAAACGAATAATACTACTTAATATGACTATCGTCGCGTTTATTTTATCGCGATTACTTTTCAAGCCTGCGAAACTAATTTCTATGCTAAATTTCACGTTTATTACAGCTTTGTACATTTAATCTTAATTTAAATGATTAAAGAAATTTGCAATTAGTATTTCTTTTTTAATTCACAATTCAATTTTGATTTTAATGTTCGTAAGAGCGTTTCAAAATGAAATGTCGTGGTCATGAGCGTCGTTTACGGTGCACTATTTCTATTTCAAACGTCCAATTTTACTGTTCGATTAAATACGATACTCTTCTTTTAATTTAATGTGAACAACTGTTTACTCAACTCGTCTAAACCAAATTTCTATTGAATAGTTCGAATAGTTCTTACTGAAATTGAAAAAAGATACGAAGATATTGTTTACAGAATTAACTTTCGTTAAACAGTAGTTGACGAAACACATAAATTTCGCATAGTATTCAACGTGTTAAATGACCTTCAAATACTTTTCGAACAATCCAGTAAATTTTACCTTTTACTTAATATTATACTTAATATTATACTTAGTATCGATCAAACTGCGAAACTTGTATCAGAAAATTTCAAATTCAATAAGTAAGAAAAAGATGTATTTTACGAAAAAAATCATTCAAACTCTTGTAAATCTACAAGATTTCCAAAAATTATGAACTGATCATTTCGACCATATTGGTAATTCCAGTGTTGGAAACATGCTTCGTTACTGACAATTAAAAAAAAGAAAAAAAAAAAGACAGAAATTCGCCAGAAAACACTAAATATTACGAAAAGCATGATATTTCAGATATTTTTCTCTACGTGCAGTCTTCGCAACGTTGCACTTTAAAATCTCCCGCAGGTGCATAAAAATCCAGGATCCATTCGTTCAGATACTCTCTCTTCGATTTACACAACGTTATTCTTTTCTTTCTTTCTTTTTTTTTCCCCTTCTTTTTTTTTTCGATTTGACACAACGCAGCAAGGATGCGTTAAACGCAACACAAACTGAGAACGAAAGGCTGCCGGGCGTGAAACACGCGCGCGGCCAGCATTGACACAGAGAACCGCAAGGTCTAGACAGGTCGTCCAGAAACGCGGCGCGATTCTGCTCGGCCGCGCTCAAATGATTTAATACGATTGACAATGAAGCATCGTGCCCACCCCGTCCCACCCAGCACTCCGCGACGAATAACAGTTTACTGTCAATTAATGGACTTACGCGTGGAAGCGAGCGCAGTTGGCTCCGTGCTCGCAGATGCTCTGTCGCCTCGGCAAATCGGTGCAGAACGGTTCAGGGTCGTAGTGAAGGCCGTCGACGAAGGTCGGGAACAACGATGGCTTCTGCAGCGTCGCGGCCGGGTCTGCCAATGCGAATCCAATCGGGCTGGTGGTCGAGAACATCGCTTTCTCCCGACGTCTGCGACTAACCAGTGAAATTCGGTTTTAACTACGTTTTAGAATTAACTGCCACTCGGACAGCGGATGTCGGAGGTTACGATCGATACCGAGAGCGAGTGTTTTCACAAGGGAAGGAAATTACGGTGTGGAAAATTTTCGCGGCCGCGAGGGGAAAACAGTGCGCGTTTTCATTTTCGGGACATTATCGTTGAAAGTTTCTTAATGTCGATTCTTCTTATCGGTAATATTCTCCTTTTTACTTCGTTCCCTTTACTTTGAACAATATCGTCTCTTTCTCTTTTCATGTACGCATCGCGTACACGTGAGGAGTGCAAGTGTATCCACAGATCTGGGCAAATTTTGTTTTGAAACAAAGTGAGAAAAGAATAACATAAATGAAATAAATTGTTTGAAGTATTATTTTCGTTTGTTATTTTCAATAGCGTAATAACAATTTATTTTGAAATAATACTTGATAATCGAACGCTTCCTATGAAAAGATAATAATTGTATAACTTTGTTTCTAAAACATTCTCTGATATAATTAAATTATTCTTCGAAATATTTCAGCTTCTAGTCTCAAGTGACCCAGTTTACTGTACCACGTTACGATATAATATATAGTGGGGCAAAAAAAAGGACATGTTAGCGTAAATTAAGCATTATATATCATACCGTTTATTTCTGCGAACACATGTAACGCAGAGTGCAGTGACGAGAGCGCCGACAAAGACGACACAGCCAAGCACCACCACACCCACTTCCAGAGTAGAGAGCAAGTAACGTTGATTACCCCGACGCGGAGAGCTTCCGGCAATGTCCAGGACATCGTACTCGTCCAACTCACGCTTGATCTCCGTTTTCTTTGTGTGGAACACGCTGAAAGAGCATGTTCGTGCACATAATTAATTAACTACGAAATCGTTACCCAATAACTTCCATAGAAATTGTTCCCTTACGTACGTTTAAATTATTTCAATTGTTCCCCGCCAAATTCTCATTCGTATCTCGTTCCCCGTCATTTATATTTATATTTGCATTTTTTTTTATTACTTACTTCTTTGTTACTATGTGATTATTTTTATTATTATTTTTATATAATTATTGTAGAATTATTTATATAATTATTTTTATATAATTATTGTAGAATTATTTATATAATTATTTTTATTATTATTCTTATACAGTAATTATTTTATTATTATTTTTATATAATTATGATAGAAAAATAATGCGCGTATTTATAATTAATCAATAAATGATACATTAATATATTAATAAAAGTAGTATATATAATAAAGATCTCCACAAGTATGCTTAGTATTTAGTATCAGTAATTTTCTATTATTATAAATAACAGCAAAATAATATGATTTTATTTCCTAGATGAGATTCTTGTTATATATGATTTTAATTTTGTTAATGATTTCTCTTAGTATTTAAGGTTTACTTACTTGTGCAGTGTGTCCATGTCTATCATAACGTTTAAATGAGGATCGATTGCATAGAGGTAAACATCGGTTCTATAAATAAAAAATGTAGGATAACGTGAAGAATGAAGTTCCATTGTCGTTTAATTGTGAAATTGAATAATGCTGTTTGAATCACTTACGACGTAGTATCGATCAGATTCTTTTCGATGTGTGGTTCTAACTTTCTCACTCGAATGTCCAAACCCGTCACATTATGTAGTATTCTAAATGAACCGAAAGATAATTAATAATGATATCATTGCTGAAATATACGCTTTGAATGAAATTAATGATTCTTACAAAAATGATCAACATTCGCCTAAATATTACTAACTATTTAGCATCTTAAGTTACTGTTTCACAGAAATTACAATATGTATTAGGATTGGATATCATTAATTATACATGTCAAAATTAAATTAAAAAGATTCACTTGAACGAACATTATTTTTTATGTTTGCAGTAATTCAGAATTGCTCAAATACTTGATTATGTATCTTTCACTATTATTTATATATATCGTATATGAATAATTTTAAAAGTTTTTATTACATACCAATATTATCAAATATTTACCAAAATCCCATATCGAAACTTCCAAATACTTTACCTTTGATCTTCAACCCTCATTAACCCTCGGACGCCTAATACGAGATTATTGGGATATTGTTTATTTATATTTTAAAAAAACATAGGTTTCAAAACAGAAACAGAAAGAAAATTATTAGAATTAAAATTGTTTGGAATACCGATTGGATCGTGAACGGCCATGATTACGCCATGGCGTGTGTCCCGAGGGTTAATCATCGGTAGACTCGTTTTCAACAAGTCTCCAACAAGAACACGTTTAAATACTCACGCGGTGATGTTTTCCAATTGTGGCTCGATATCGATGGGTTTCCGGCCAACCACCATCACCACTTGTTTCTGGTCGTCCAACACGTACACCTTAGGGGCAAACGGAACGTTTAGGCAACGCGGTAAGAGACCAGACGAGAGAGTATCGAACAAACATTCGCGGTACTCTGTCTTCCCCGCGGGGAAATTAACCTCTGCTGTGAACCTCGAATTCCAACGACAGGTAATTAAGATCGTGTGGATGGAACGTTCGTGCATGAGTAGGGCGTTCGTGGTAAAATGAAGGAGTAGGGCTGTAAGGAGAGGAGAGAACAAAGAGAACAAAGAGAGAGGGAAGACTTACAAAGACGTTGGCGATACTGCTGCGGCCGCTCTCGGCGCCCCTTCTGTCGGTGGCCTTGACGTCGAAGCCGAAAACGCGTCCAGCGTCACGGCCAAAACTCGCCACGGATCGTACTTGACCGCTCAGTGGGTCAATGGCGAATCGCGGCGCGTCCTCTCGCCCGAGAATTTGATACCGGATCTCGGCGTTTGCTCCCTCGTCTGGGTCTTCCGCCTGGCCGATTGATTAATTGGTTTTTATTCGATTCTTCCTACGTGTGTGCCTGTCGTTCGGCTGTTTCTCAGATGGTACGTGACAGATTGCGAGAGCGAAAAAGAGAGCGAGAGGAAGAAGCACGCTAAATTTTGCAATCACGAAGGTACTGAGATATTCAGACTGCAGTATCGGAGCGTGAACGGTGACTGTTTTATTATATGGTACATACGTACATCCCCGCTCAGAAATCTTAGGACAGGCACTATATATTTAGTACAATACAAAACAGCACAATGAATATAAATTGTGAGTTGCATACGATACTCACAACATAAATTACACAATAAGTAGAAGTATAAATTAAACGCAATATAAATTATTGTATTTGCAATAGATGCAATACATGCAATCGAATTAAATAGAATAAACACAAAATATACTTTGTATAATAAAGACTCTATTAACATATCAATATTATATATTGTATTATTATATTATTATAATATATTATACAATGTTGTAAACGTATTAGAAATGTATATAATGTATTATATTGTATCATAAGACATGCATACAGGATAATTCACAATAATATTAAAAGTGTCCCAAGACTTTTGAGCAGGAGACTACAAATTAATTTGTGGCTCCCGCAATTAACCCTTTCGCTACCATGAACGAGATATATAACTCGCTTCATAATACCGCTTCTCCAATTCCACTGACGAATTAACTCCGCAATTTCGCTCTTGCGATGACACATTATATTTGCAAATTAACTCTTTGCCTGATTCATCCGAATTATCTCGGACAAAAGAAATAACGCACAACAGGCAAAATGGCTACAACGCGCTGTCAGATTTACGAACCGATAATCTACTCGTTCGTGAACCGACTTCATAAATCTGTACTACTCCTTGCAAAAATTTTCGATCAAGTGCAAGTATTAAAACATCGACAATCCTCCATCGAGCGTATGACTACGCCGACTGGGATGATAATTAAGCAATAACAAAGATGTTATTAATTTCTTAAATGATCACAAATTAATACTAAATAGCTAACGCGCTTCTTTATCCGTAAGAATATATACCGTACAAAGTAAATACCAAAGCAGAAAGCTCGACGCTTTTCGAGAGGCAAACAGTTAATTACCGAGTAGCAACGACTTTTTCTACCTGATGATAGAAATAAAAATTACCATGATTACAAAAGGGAGAGAATGGAGCAAAAGCGGTGAAGGAAGGAACAGAAAACATCGGCGTGGAGCACTAAAGGGCAAGAAACCCGCGGCTTTGGCAACGTGTATGAAAAGCAAAGAGAAAAAGTGTTGAACGGTGGAAGCGAAACGAATGAAAAGGAGGGCCACAGAGGGGCGGGTGCACACACAACAGGGCACAACAGGGCGCGTGTAAACGTACCTCCACTTTGACAACCTCATACCCGTAATGGGCAGCAGTGGGTATCGCGGCGAGGATGGGCCGACCCTTTGACTTGAATCTGGGCGCATTGTCGTTAACATCCTTCACTCTGACAACGACCCTGGCCTCGTTAGGCGCCAGACCATTCAGTCTTTCACCGACAACCGGGTAAATCATCACGGGCATCCCGCGACCAATCTTCACCCTGTCGACCCTGACCTTCGCCTCGTATCGATCGTTCACCTCTCTGTCCACGTCCGTCATCAGGTATAACGAGCCGTTCTTTGGGTCGATCGAGAAGTGTTCTCGCGCCTTCGTCTCATCCGCCACGATGCTGTACCTGTTGGAAATATTCACAGCCTGATGTCAAATACCGCGAGACATTTCGCCTAACGATTCGTTCATACATTCGCTAGTTTCATTAGCAGTTTAATCCCTTGCGCTGGAATGACGTGCCATGCACAGCGAGAATTCTCTGTCCCAAAATTGCAACATTTCCTCAGTTTCAATTATCAAGTATATTTAAATGTAACCCAGGCGAAAGAAGTGATAAGTTTGTTACTTCCCAATAATTTCTATCCAGATGATATCATCGTACCGACGAGTTCAAAAGAAAAAGAAAGCGACGAATTATTTGCATACGGTTCGGTCACTCGTTATGGTCCGCGAACAAGTTGCCAGCGTAAGGGGTTAAACGCGAAGAGACGATAGGAATAAAATATTCCACTCTTTCATCAGCCAATCGGTCATTATTCTTACACGTGTACAAATACTCTGGGTCCATCGAAAAGATTAAATTGATCATTGCCTTGGCAAATTGTGCAGGAAAATTCCTTAAAAATGTAACAAACTAATAAGCCTCGTATTTTACGTATCGTACCTTATGTAGTCGCTCTGTTGACTGTCGTTTAGGTCCAACTGCGCGATCAAAATCGGCACTGGAACGTTTTCCTCTACTTCAACCTCGTAATATCGATGTCTGAACGAAGGTGTCTTCTGCACCTCGTTCTCAGCATCTTCCTCGTTGTCGTCCACGTTCAACACGGTGACAATCACGACCGCGGTGGATGTCAAACTAACCGGAGATCCGAGATCGCTGGCAGTGACCAACAAACGATGATCCCTTCGGGTCTCGTAATCCAGACAACCGATCGTCGTGATCGCGCCTTCTTTACTGTCAATGGAGAAGAACTGCTTCTCGGGCTGCCCCTGGTGACTCAGATCGAAGAGAATCAGCCCATTGCCGTTTCCAGCAAAGTCCGAGTCGTTCGCATACACCTTGATCACTTGACTTCCAACAGGACTGTTCTCAAAGATCGAAGCGTGGTACACCGGCACGAGGTCTCCGTCCTCGTTCCTCTCCGTTTCGTGATAGTTGTAGAACGTGGGTGGATTATCGTTGACGTCCAACACGTTCACCTCTACCTCCACGGTGGTGCTCAGTCTCGGAGAACCGTTGTCGCGTGCCATCACCACGAGACGGTGAGTAGCTAAACTCTCCCTATCCAGAACACCAGTGACTCGAACTATCCCTTCGTATGGTGCAACGTCGAAGATCCTGGACACGTTCGCGGGATCTTCCAGGTTCTCGTTGCCGGAGACAGCCTCGTAACTGACGTTCGCGTTCGCTCCGAAGTCTGCGTCGATCGCTCGAACAGTGCCCAACGCGTAGCCAGCGTAGGTGCCCTCCGGCACGTCGAAAGTGTACCAGGACTTGTCAAAGATCGGCGCGTGATCGTTCACGTCTGCCACGTGGATCCTCAGCATGATACTGTCGGACAGTCCACCGTGGTCTTTCACCAGGACGAGCAGGCGAACGTTCCTCTCTGTTGGAAGTCCTCTGGCTACTGACACTTCGGCTGACCTTGGATCCAGATGGAAGTACCTTCGGCTGGCTCCGGTGTCGAATCGTCGCGACTTAACGTCGTCACCGGATGTTGTCTCGTTCCCCAGGCTGTACGTTATCGCGGCGTTTGTTCCCTCGTCCTTGTCCTCCGCGAGCAGCCGTATTATCGGCGCGCCGATCGTCGCGTTTTCCGGCACGAGAAGAAGAGGCGAACGGCGGCTGTTCGTTGGCTGACTTCCGGCGCCTGGCTCTCTCATATCGAGCACGTCGTTCCCCTCGAACGATGCCTCGATATCGGGCTCGTTCGACACGCGAACACCCTGGTCCGGGAGCACGATCATTCGGATAAAACTCGGCGGATTGTCGTTCACGTCGGTTACCATTATCGTCAGCTGAGATTCCGATGTCAGGCCGCCTGCGAACAACAGACGAACGAAAAGAAGGATGAGAGTGTTATTGTGGTGATTAGACCGCGGATTTATGGAAAATTTGATTTTATTAGTTTATTTTATTACTACTAATTGGGAGTATTTATTTATTTATTTTTTTATTTACGTGTATGTGTATCGTGTATTTTAACAATCAATTTTTAACCTTTAATTAAACTTTAATTAATAATTATACCTTCAAGTGTATCACAAACATATAGAATTTTGAAAATTAAAAGTATCTCTAATTCAATAGCTGATTTACATTGTGTTACGCCTTTGTTTTCAATTTTTAATATTAACGCACTTGCTATTTCAACACCTCGTTTCACAGACACAAATTGAACTAACTCCTACATCAGAAGTATGTTTAGAACTTTCGTTTGTATCTCTCTGAGCTATTCTAACAATAATAAGTTGGCATATAGTAGAAAAGGAAAAACTTACCAGTGTCTTTAGCTACGATCGTGAAACTATAGTTTGCTTTCGCTTCTCTGTCCAGTGTTCGGTCATCGATTCCTTCGAAGTACACTAAACCGGTAGTTGGATGGATTTTGAACAGTTCGCTGCCCTCGCCGTAAAGACTGAAGACAAAATTCTGATTGATGCCTTCGTCTTTGTCAATAGCCGCAATGGGAATCGATAAGTTCACTTTCGTTCCGTTCGGGCTGTTCTCTAGGATTCGACCCTCGTACAATGGCATCGTGAATTCTGGTGCATGATCGTTCTCGTCCAAAACGATCACGCTGACCTGAAATGAAATTCAATATTTCATAGATCCCCGTAAAAACGAATTTCTTCAGAAAGTACTCTTCATTCTATTTCTTACGAAAAGAATTAATTTGAATAATGAATTGAGTAATAAAAGATGCTTAGTTTAAAGAAACTAATTGTACGAATTAACAATATATTGTGAAGATTGTGATTGAAGAAAATATTCCAAGCTCCTGCTGTTGATACGAGTTGAAAAAACATTTAAACCATTGGACTTTTAATACCATTTAAAAACTATGTGCACTCAACGCAAGTGGGCAGCACGCACGATCTGCGAGGAAGGATACGAAATGGATTTGAGGAAGTATTCGAGGAATACCTGGTATTTCCGAACGAGTACGGAATTCAACGCTGCAGCGTGCAATGGCAGTGTTTCGAGGCACTTCGAACATTTTCTTTAACCATCCATAATTCGAGAACTGAATGTTAGCATGCATGGCATAGGGCATGCAAGGATCGGACGAAACAGATCGGAAACACCATTAAGAAAATTTGTTGTTAATATCGCGAAGAACTGTTATTGGCATTTAATGTAGCTTGAATTCTCATGAGAATGAAATCGTGTAAACCTTGAATCATGTAATGGGATGGATTGTACCGTTCTTTACGGCCCTCGCTATTTTTCCATAATAGACCACAGTTGGTTCGCTAATGTTAAGATCCGGCGGCTATATTGCTGGCCAGAGTACCTGTTCAACTTCAATTTCACGCTAGACCGCAATCTATAGAACTACACTTCTCTGTACCAATCTCAACTGCACAATACGCTCATAAGATGTGGGCCAGCGTTTTCTCAACCAATGGGCTACGTCGGATTTTTAATGGACCGCGGTTTGGATGTCGCCTTTCGCCAAAGTGAAGAAAATGATTAGTTAATTGGCACTGTTAATAATTAATTAGCAAAAGATACCCCTTGAATCTTTCTGTAGAACGTTTTCGATTTCGAGCTATAGATTTAGACGAAATCAAAGTGAGTGCCAAATCAAACATGTTGATGTAGACTGTGAATTTTATGCACTTTTGAATTTTAATTAACACACAACTAAGACTACATATTACAATAGATACTTCGCTTTGGATGTTTATATATTTTTGCGTATTGTTAAGTATTTATTATTATTAAATATATCATTGCGTATCATTAACCCAATTTCCTATAAATGCATAAACCTGCAGACTATTTTATAAACTTGTTTTCAATATTTTATCCAACACTTGTACGTTTGTATTATATTTTTTACTTGTATTAATGTGTAGATAGATTCTCTCGTGTATTATCCTGTACATTCCACACTTTTTCTCAATAAAGTATTATAAAAGAAAAAAGAGAGAGATACAATTATAGAAGTTCAGTGTTCAAACTCTGCTATGTATATGTTCTATAACTAAAAATAATTTAAAATAATTTAATTAATTGAGTATGAACTCAATAAATGTTTCATTAAAAAGTCATGACAAAGATATATTTTGTGATCTTCTTTTCACGCGATGTTTTAGTCTTATTTTCACCTGTAGAACACACGAGTTACCTTTACTTCACCGACAATTACTTTGACGACACGATTTCATCGACGCCAAATTTCGCCGATAATATTTCATTCACCTACACGTTAGGATCATCGACAGTCATCAATGATTGACAATGATCTGAACGTGTCGGTGGACAAATATTGTCAGTGAAATTTAGTGTCGATGAAATCGTGTTGTTAAAGAGATTGACGGCGAGGCAGAGCCTTCTGCAATCGAAAACACATTGACAGAGTTTGAACGTATACTAAACATAACTCTGAATATCCAGACGTAGCCTAATGAAGAAGTTGAGATTTACCAACTAGATGTATAAAACAAAGTACAAAATTTGTAGCAGCGAAATGAAAATGAAAGAAGCAAGACAAAATTTACGAAATGAAGAGCACAAGCTTCTGTTTATATATTTTACTAAAAACCATCCGAGTCTCTGAAAACACACTGTTACAAATATCAAGGGTACCCCACAAATAATGTCGGTTCTTGATACTGTACAAAATTCTATTTTATTTAAATTATCTTTTTCAAACTATTGTCACTAGATGGTTCTTACTTTATTAAATTTGAAAAGAAACGACATTACATATGGGCCCCTTATTATATAAATCTCAAATACCCCTATTATGTAAATCTCAATTGGCCGTTTTGACCATTTTGGTCGGTCTAGTTGGTCAATTTAAAAAAAAACTCTACCTGCACAGAATCTCCTTTAACATAAAAGAAAAGGGATAAAAAACGTTTATTTCAATTATTAAACACAAAACATTTCTTAAAATGAAAAAAAGTAATACTTAAATAAATTCTTTATTACAGAGTGGGGTATAAATAATCCCACCATGGGACTAACGTTTCGAATGAAATTCATTGAAACACATCTTTAGGTGGATTAAAAAATATCCTACCGTGCATTAACTGTCAAAAGAAAAAACGTAGGGCAATTTTAAACCCACCTAACCCCAAAGAGTTAATTAGAGGACGCTTACTTGAAAGACACCGACGCCGCGCGGACTCTCCGCAATCACAGTGATGCTGTAATTCTGCCTAGCCTCGCGATCGAGACCCTTGGGCGCATACAAGGCGCCGTCCTCCGTGATCGAGATGTCGGGCACATCCTGTTGATTGACGATAAAGAACCGAGTGCCGGCAGCGGTCGCGCCAGTTCCATTCTGGGGGAGTACTTGCCCGATGTACGCGCCAGCCACGTTCTCCTTCGCGTGGAACACCAGAGGGGCGGTGGTCGTTCCCCTGCAATCAACGGCCAGTGACTTTTCGACAAGTAAACAGAAATTCCGCGGAGCCGACGACTTTTGACCTTTCAAGCTGGAAAGTGAAACGAATAAAATCGAACGAAAGCGTCCGTGTCCGGTTTTGTCTGTCAGTTTTGTCTGGCAATTCGCTGGCGAATTTTTAACGCTGCGCGTTAAAAATTTAGAATGACGTAATATAAACAGAGGTTCGACATTACTTTTTTTTTTATAAATAATCAAGAGATGAAAAATTTAGATTATACTCGAGACGATGTTGATGATTTAGCCGTCCGTTTCGAAATTCTTGCAAAGGGAGATGATACAAAATGGTGAAATTATTCGTTTTGAAATTTGAAATTTTTCTTGTTCTATTCTCTCATGTACAGTGAATCCCATTAATGTTTGTTTAAATATTGAAACTTTGCCAGAAGATTGTACACCTAAACTTGAGCTCATTTTAAAGCTTGAGACCTCTTCATTTTCATATATAGGTTTTAAATTTAATTTAAATTACAGAATTATCGCAAGATAGAGTTCTGAGAGTAAGATCGACTAAAAGTGGCTGAAGGATAAATAAATCTAATTTTTCCATTAAATCTGTAAACACTGAAAGTCCACAGCGTCCGAATTATAAATGATAAAATTAACAGAAACACGTTTTACATTTACTACTGAAAATATTCACTGGCGGCACTTTATAATAACCTAATCATACTGATTCCTCAATTCTACAAATCTGTCTGCGAATAAGTCACGTATAATGAATTCAACTTTGTATGTACAATCAGTCGCAAAAGTTTTGAATATTTAACGCTAGAATTACCGACGACTAAAGCATTTAAATTTCGATCAGAGACGCAAACGTAAAAACAGAAAAACTTTGTAATGCAATACAGTATACACGAGCTTCTATTTGTGCATATATTTTACGAAAAATCATTACAAAAATTTCTAAAAATACACATTTTACAGCTATCAAAATTTCTAACAAAAACTATCAATTGGTCATTTCGACTAGTTTAAGATTGTTGAAAAATCAAACTTAACCAAAGTTGATTCCAAAACTAAAGTTGACCTGGAAATTACTGAACCTTCACTATTCAAAAAAAAGATAATATAATATATTTATAATTTATAGGATAAATAAGATAAAGATAACATAATATATTTATATTTTATATTTTTAATATTTATATGTTTATAAAGATAATTATAATATATTTATAATTTATAATTATAAATAGTTTAATAATTGAATAATTTGTGATAATAATTTAAACATACCATGTGCTTTATATCAAACAACCTTTGCAGAAACATTTTCTTAACAAGTCTCAATACCTTGCAATCGTTACCTATTTTCGAGATAAAGGAAACACCCTGTATAAACTTCTGCGACCGGCTGTACACCCACTATCAACCCCGCAGATCTCCGTTTCTCCTCGTTACGTAGAAACAAGAGACTAAGCTCGAAACTACGTGTCACTCTCACGGTTCGTTAAAACGTTGTCCGCGCATATTCAGGAGAATTCTACTTACCTCGTGAAGATGCCTCGCTCGTCGTTAGGATCGACCACGTGGACGGACACGTTTGTGATCAACATCAGATCTCTTTCGTCTGTGACGACCGCCTCGAAGTCGTAGGTCGATCTATCGAACCGTTCGATCTCCTCCACCACCGTGATCGTCCCCGAACGCTCCTCAACGGCGAACGGCACTGAAATTATCCACGAACGTATGCAGCACACGTGTCACGTATTAAATTCAGAGGAACAGTCCTCTGCTGTTAGAGCTGCTACAAGTCTACCGCCTTCGTGTTAGGCGAAGCTTATTGGATCGTCATGGGACGGATCCGCGAGATTAAAACGTTATGGGCTTTAACTCTTCCTAACGCGTATTTCATATCGCTTCTAGGTACACCGTGAAAGAAAGTTTGCAAAATGCTTCGGGGGGATATTGGAAAAATTTGGCAGAGTATCGATTCGAGGTGGGATATTGAGTGCCGGTTGATGTCGAATGAAACAGCGGAGAATTAATGGGAACGGGACGGTGGTTAAGTGGTTGGTAATGTGTTTTCGGTGGAATCGATGTATCGGCATTTTTCTTTTTTTTTTTTTTTTATTAACGTTTAATCGTTTCTGTTGGCGAGACCGTATCCAGGAAAGTTTTCTTCCCCCCCGAGTATGAATTGAAAAAGTGTTCGATGTAAATGGTGTTTTGAGATGCAGTTGCTACGTATATAGTGACGTTGTATAGTCATTTAAAGAACGATTAATATGTATAGAGTGAATCATAAAATAGTAGTTGAGAATATTCATTGAACTTGAACTTAAATCAGTTGTAATGAATATTTACAACATTGCTACGTTGATAATTAAATTGTTGGACCATCCAATATAATGCATAGTTGCTATGATAAAGTCACTGTAGTTTTCTCCTTTCGTCAACAATTTCATGATTTACTTTTAACTGTTATCCAGATACTTTTAAACGTTAATACGTATTTAAAAAAAAAAATATTATAATAAATATATTTGTACGAATATAATATGTACCAAAAGGACCAGCGAATAATGCACTCGTTATAACATCGATTTACGTTCGTAGTAACAAGCTCAATTTGAAAAAAAAAAAGAAAGTAAATTGTAGTCCTATGGAATATGAATTTCAATCATCGATTTTAATTCTCCAAACTGAAGATCAATAAATACAAATGATGCCAGCTAATGTTCTGACCGAGACTGAGACTGATGGGGAAAAAGATGGTAAGGTAAAGAGTTAATTAATGATTTCCTATGAAGATACGTACCACCTTCCTCGTAACTGTGCAGAAGATCGTAGATCAGGTCGTTGGTCTTTACGGCGTCGTTCAAGCGTATCTGGCCGACGCTAGTGCCGACTGGCACATTGGCACCGACCCAAAACTCGTAAGGGGCACCAATGAAATCCGGCTCGAGAGATTCTGGCCCTACGAACAACAGGAAATGCGTAAAAGGATTCGTATATATATATATATATTTTTCGACAACTCGCGTTTGAAAACGTCGAGCGACCGTCAAGCATTCTGTTCAAAGTGCGCGTAGAAAATAATAAAAGAAAGCTGACCGTTTGATCTGATGACGTCGACAGTGACCACAGCTAAGGAGAATCTCCTCTCGCTCGGGTTCGCCGGTTGATCCGCCGCCTCGACGAAGATCGCGTGTCGTCCCTCGAGAATCGGGCTCTCGGCGACCGTGATCATGCCGGTGATCTCGTCCACCATAAACGGAGGCGTGCGGCTCGTCGAGTTGCCTGGTTTTTGCAGCCTGTATCTCACCATGCCGTTGGGCCCGAGATCGTCGTCAACCGCGTGCACCTGGCCGAGCACCGTGTCCACTTTATAGTCTGTCCTCGCGACCAACTCGTACAGATTCCCAGGCACGAATATCGGATTGTTATCGTTCGCGTCGAGCAACGTCACCTCGACGTCGACGAAAGAATCGTTCCGTAGAACAACGCTCGGCCGTCTCTCGATCGCCAACACTTTCATTCGCAGGTGATCGCGCTTCTCCCGATCGAGGACCGACTGATCCTTCACCGTTAACCAACCGGATTTACCGTCGACCGAGAACGCGCCGGACGGATCACGAAGCTCGTAGTCGAATTGGCCGTTCTCCGCTTGGTCCTTGTCGCGAGCGATCACCTGCAGCACGCTGAACCCGTTCGGCAGATTCTCCACGATGCTGATGTTGTACAGGTCGACCTCGAACTCCGGAAGATTGTCGTTCAGATCGAGGACCTCGACCTCGACGCGAGCGGCTGCTGTCTTCAGAGGATTGTCCACTTGAGAAGCGTGGACCTGCAGAGTGAACGTGTTGGACGGTAGGTTTCGCTCGGCGTCCAGATCGATCGGACGTTTGAGGAACAAGGTGCCGTTCTTTGGGTCCAGATGAAAGAAACCGCGCTCGTTGCCAGATATTATGTCGTAACGCACGGATATATTTATGTCCCTGTCGCAGTCCGTTGCTTGAATCGGGGCGGAGAAGTTGATTTGAGTGAAGATCGGATGTTCCTAGGAAAATTCGTATTACGTCCGTGAATTAAACACTTTCTTTTGAATTTATTTGATCTGTCATTTAATTTATTAAATAGATATTATTTATTAAATTTGATTAATTTTGTTTACCAAATACCAGACTTTAAGAGTTTTACTAGGCAATATGCTAATTTTATTTTTTTATATTATTCATTTCTTCGTCATTTAACTGCAGATATATAATATCTTATATATACTTTGTATCCATTTCTGCTACAAATGGTATTCGCGGTATTAGAAACACGATATTTACTTCTATCTTTAGATAGTACATTTTCATTCGTGCAATCATCGTTTCGCGAGAAAAAGAGAGAAAATTACGAACGACTTGTTTGTAACTTCAGCTTCCTAAAAATTAGAAACCGTCAGAAGTAAAAGCAGTTACTTGCAAGCTTCTTCACCTCGTAATTAACTCATAACCAGTTGCAAGTGAATAAAATTGTTCCTAGAATTTCTCAAGAAGCCTCGTCGTGAAATGGGCGAGCTTGACCAACTAAGTAACTCTAAACGCATTGATAACGCGTGTAACGCACGCATAAATCGAGGAGGAAAGTTAATTTACCGATCGAACACGAAGACGCACTTTCGAGAGTGTTGATCTCGAGAGTTCGAAATCCACGGCGGAATAAATCGTCGGCGGCGGCAGCAACGACGTTGCATCGCTCGAAAGTCGAACGAGTCGCGATAAATATCGCGGTGTGCATTGCCGCACGATCGTGTTTCCTTTCGGAACGAAATTTATACCTCAAGGTTCCTCGCTCAGGAAAGTATTAACCTCTGACATTCCCCGGCAATGTGGCACAGCCTAGATTACGAGCGTTGCGTGTAACACAAACGACAAACGGGACCATTCGTCGCGACGAACAGCGCGCCGCTAAATACCCGCCACGCTGATAGCCAACGATATTTCCAAAAGAAGATTTCCCGAATGAATTCTCAGCCCGTACGAATTCCCTGGCGAATTAATTGACTTTCTGCAAGTCCACCGCGTGTTTCATTACGTGAATTGCGAAATAACAGCTTTCATTTCCTTCACAGATTCTCGTAGTTCGTGAATTTCGCGTGGGAGGCTCGGACGTAGGCGTCCGTGGTTAAAACGATATCAGCTCGGACGAGTTTGCGTTTCCACAATACGGCCGTTTTTATCGAGTTTCGATTTTTATTAAGTTTTTCGAGTTTGCTTTCGATATTTGGCCAGAGACGGATTCGCGATTCGTTTGTTCAAGCGGATTGTTGCGCATTTATAAGGGACTTTGGAGTTCGAAAATTACATAGAATGCACGAGATGTGGAAAAATACAGAAAATATCCAGTGTGCTTTTTATGACTGTATTTGTGACTGGCGCGTGAAACAATTTTCTATAGAGTTTCCATCTTTTTAATTTAATATATTCTCAAAAATGGATTTGGATAAATATTCGCAATCTGTCGATAACCATTTAATGAAGAAATAGCTATAGTAATAAGTTCATACGTTTGTGAGAAAGTTGCCGGATTGGAAAAGAATACAAGTGGATTATTTATCCAAAGTAGAGCATTTAATAAAATCTTGCTTTCAATCTTTAATCTGTACAAGCCATTAATCTTTAATCTTTAATCTTCAATCTGTAATACTAGGGTAAAAAAAAAAAAAAGAAAAAAATAAAACCGTTCAAATTTTTATAAATGCCAGTATAAATATACAAGAATACTGTCTTGCGGTTACGTAACCGAATAATCTCCGTCTGTGCTTAATTATGACTCGTTTTGTAGAGTTACACCGCGAAATTACACGCTGTTCCGTACAATTATGTCATTCCGACGCAATCAACTGATCGTAGGCACACTTTTTTTTTCAATGCTTTCGCGAATTTACGATTTCGCGATATGTTGGATAAGTTGCTTGGATATTATGTGAAAAAAAAAAATTAGACGTTAGATTCTTTAAGTAAAGGAGAATAATTAATCCTTTAGACGACAAGGAAATTCCACTGAGCTGAGATAACTACCATTGAGAGTGTAATAATTATACTACACGTATTCTCTGTTCTCTTCGTGACATATAATTACCTACACATTTCTAAAGTATTTTAAGTAGAATAATTTATACGCATAGTTTGCCAGAACGTTTCTAGTCAGTTACAAAATGTCTAAGTCTATCGATGATAGCTTTATATTTTACTATAAATATTTTACAAACCTCTATAAATAAAAATTTATATTATACTACAAATAATGCTCACATTACAAGCAATTCATTTACTAACTAAAAAAAGTATTAAGGATTTTGACGTACAACTGGTTAAATAGTAATTTACGTGAATCAGTTACTAAAATTACTTTTTTATCGCAGTATTAAGCAACATTATGCCTTTCTTTCGACAAACTAAGATTGGTAAGCATTTCGATTGATTTAACTGATGGTATAGTATGCCGTATATATGAATGATTTAACCTACTAGATCCTACTCTATTTCAAAAAACCGCCACTTTCACTCACTCAGAGTATGCTCAATCACGTCTAGTATTACCAACGATGACAGCAATATGATTCTTCTGGAAATAGAATGTTTTTCCATTATTATTAACTTGCAAAGAGGAACAATTCAAGATGCAACCACAAAGTAGTAATTTAAAGTTATATAACTACCACATGCTTCGATCGTTCAAACCATATTATTTTCTGTTCGTTAGTAGAGAAAAGTAGAGCCAATTCCATGAAATTTTCATTGATGAATGATGTAATCTATTGTTGTGATTGGCTGATTAATTTTAGTTTAACAATTTGATTCCTATGTTTTCACTTTTCTATCTTAAATACTACATATATAATATATTAAACTTTGTTTATTATATTATGCGTTATTTATTTATTATAAATAAATTATATTGGTTATATTATTATACTTTGTACGTTATTTATATATTATGCATGATACAATGCACAACGCTCAAAAAATGAAACTGTAATACAGTTCACTTGCTAAAAAAAGAACACATTTACTTTGCGCAAGTCATATGAAACTTCCCAGTCATCTGTTCTAAAATTTTATTGCCCTCTTCGTTCATTGTTCGAATTGAAATGAATGCCCTTAATATCCCTCTTTGGTTTGAGCAGGTTTGAGCAGAAATGGAAATCACACCGGAGTAAATAACGAATTTCAATCGCCTGAAAGCGTCGATGATTGATCGCGACGTGTGTGATCGAGTGTTATCGTACTGTAACATTTTCCTGTTATTGATTCTGTTGATTCCTAACTTCGACACACACGTTTCTTTGATATTTCGACGAACTGAATAAAATTTATTATTATATTCTAAGGGACTACCATCAAAACTCTACTTCAATGCCTATTAACGCCCGTTATATTTAAAGAAATACATACACATACGATATTTTAACTGCTACTGCTATTTGTCGACGAAATTTACAGATGAATTTATTTTATCGCATACTTTATCTATTTATTTTATTTAAATATAATAATACTTCATTTATTTATTTTATTCATTTATTTATTCATATATTTATTTATTCATTCATTTATTTGTTATTTCATTTATTTATTTTATTAAAAATAATATTAGAGACTAAACGATCAGCACGAATTGCCTAAGTCTAAATGCTAAAAAATATATTCATAATTTAAATATAACAGATCGTACATATAATTTGATATATACATATATAGTAAAATATATAAATCAATAAAAATGTAAATAATATATAAAATAATAAAAAATACATAAATCAATATATATATATATATATATATATTTATTATTTTATATATTATTTACATTTTTATTTATCTTTATTGAATTACACATTTTACTTTGATAGGAATGGAGAAGAATAAAATGAAATACGATGTCGACAAAGAAAGGACTATCTTATATATCATTTCTCGCTATTATCTCATATTTGGACAAAGGAGAAACCATTTATATCGCCCCTCCAATAACAATAAATCCATAAAATGCTCACCGGCATCGGGTAGAACTCGTAAATCTTCGCTTTGTACACGTCTCTGGTGAACTTGGGATCCAAATCATCGTTGTCCAGCACCGTGATCACGACAGTCGTATTCGTACTCCTGGCTGGTACGCCGCGATCCTGAAACACGCGGAACAGACGAGCCAACAATGAGACACTCTCGGCCGATAATTATGCCAACTAGCTACGTCGAGCAACTTTCACTCTCACGCTCAAGTAAGTATACATACATACACTTGCGCGCTTTTCCACGAACGGGATATATTCATGTCGCGTGTGAGATATCGCGCTACATACTCACCGTAGCCGCGATGACCAACGTGAACTCGCGGTCACCGTTGTCGTAGTCTACCGGTTTTCGAAGGATGAGAGCGGTTCTATGACCGGATTCGAGCGAGAATTTGCCCTGCTCGTTGCCTTTCACTATCGCGTAGTGCACATCGCTGTTCGGCGTGTTCGGCTTGTCCCCGTCCATCGCGTGGATCCCGCGAAATATCGTCACGCCTGCGATTAAACGAGACATACGAAATTTCATACATAGCTGAAATACATCAACTGATGATTAAACTGATGTTCGCTACTCGCGAAACGAAGATAACAGAGAAAAATATATAAAATATCCAAAATGTTCTACTCGTTATGTTAAATAAATTACACGTGACAACATAATATATTATAATTAACATAAACAATTTTTACTCAAACCTTTGAATGTTTATTCCGTATTATATTATATACATATATATATATATTAATATCACGCATTCGAAGAGAATAGTATATCACAATATGTAAAATAAATATGGTATACAAGACTAAAGTCTAAATATAGTATAAAAATAAAATATTAAATTTACTAAAATAATAAATATAGTATATAAGCTACATGTTTAAAAATGATTCCATTCTTAATTTGTTATATATTCCTCGTTGGACGTTTCATAATTTTAGTGAGCATTCAAAAGTTTAAGTATTTATAAAAATGCATAAAAATATATAAAAATTGTACAGTTTATTAATTCTGTTTCGCGGCTGTTGGTAAAAGGCCATGAAAGTTGTTCATTTAATTAGCGTTTTTTGTAACAAGGTTTTGAGAAAGTTCTTCATTGAAATTTAACTTTTAGTCACTTTCTTTTTGAACTAGGTATGATCTTGAGATGAAAGCTTAATCTGGCCAACATCGTCACACATAGACAACGTGTATTCGAAAGCGTGAGTATTTTAGAAAAAGGCATTTCATTTTCTCCGCGGTGTTACATCGTTTACGAAACTACCACTACACTGTAAATTACGTATTATTATAGGCGCGTGAAATTTATCTGAATCTAGGTCTTTAAACTGCTTTAACTAACACTTACAAGCAGGTAAGATGTAACAACTCTTTATAATATATCATGAAACCGATTCTAATAGCAACAAAATCCTCTCTCTTTGCTACAATAACGCTGGATGATTTAAATTTGAACGAAAAATAGAAACGATATTTTCATAATTCGTAAAAATGTCTATACACGACAGAGAGGCTATAGTCAAATCGTCTTCGAAATTGAATTTTTCTAAAAGTAGTTTCTCGTTCTGGAAATAAAGATCGAACCGTGGTTTAACTTGAGACTTAGTTCGTGTGCGGTATATCTCACCAACTGGAGTGAGCTCGTCCAGAGTTACGTGATAAGGCGCGTCGACAAATTGCGGAGCGTGATCGTTTATGTCCTCCACGTAGACCGTCACTGACAGGTGCGACGTCACCTATAAGCACAAACGTTAAACGTATCAATGTTGCACATCGTACGTCAGCTACATCCTGAAAAATGATCTGATATTGCACAGAATCCTTTCGCTCTTAATTGTTCATACTCGATTACATTCGTTGGTATGCATAATGAGGTGCGTCGTGCTCGATTTGATTGAGATTGAAGTGAATTAATTAGCGAATATTGAGCATGAAAGATGTTAGACTATAATCGTTATATCATCGATTTATATTAGGTTATTTAATCTTTATTTGTACTCTGTATTTTGTACGATAAAAATTATAATACACTGACCATTGATTCTAGATATCAATTCAGATTTTTAATTCTAAAAAGTCTGAACTCTTAAATTATCACAAAATGAAGCATGTTGGGCCCTTTTCAGTCACAGAAGATATTGGTACTTTCGTATTACGAAATATTAAATTCGTTATATGCGAAAGCATAAGCCATAAGAAGTAATAATTTTACGGAATTTTTTCGAAATAAGGAACATAATGTATTTTCCAAATTTTCGTGAATCCCCTCTTGCAATTAGATTAGATATTAAAGAATTTCTGCATTAAATATTCCAATAGAACCAGTTGTGAAGAGAACTGTGAACTTTTAATTACTTTAAAATTATTAATTAATTAATTTTAATTATTTCGAGTAATATTTGCGAGTAAGACGATCTTTCAAATTACTTTTACAATCAATGATCAATTTTGATAATTTTACTTCCAACACCTTGCACAGTATGCAGCATCCATCACATAGCTGTATTGATTGAATGCTGAGTCTGACTATATACCGTCAGGTTTCCCTCATACGCTTACATTTGCCTTTTCGTACCCTGCAACTTGTAGATTACAAAGTTTTGTTATTGTAAAGCAAACATAATAGAAAACTTTAAATATTTTTCACATAATTTCCATTTAAAAACATTCATATTATATATATATATATATTTCTAAAATATTTTTATATCAATTTCACTCTACATTCATTAAATTATAATATGTATTTAAATTATATAATATGTATTTAAATTATGTATTTTAAATTATAATATGTCTAGTTCTATTTTTCTATGTCCGTCATATTTCAAATAATTCTTCGTGGATGAATCAAGACACCCTGTATATAGAAGATACATCATTCCACAGACGGGATAATATATCATTCAGTACAGAGCGAAAGAAACGTGAGGAATGAGTAACAGACAGATAGTTAGGGAGCAAGAGAAAAACTTTTCGCATACTTTGTATAGTCCTGCACGTTGGATCGATTTTAATATTCCCCTCTCTGTTCTCTTTGGCACTAGCTACTCCCTCTCTTCAATGTTTAATATCGCCGACTAGACGGTCACGTATAACAGTATTGTTCAAGACTTATTCGCCGAGATTACATTAACGCGTAAAAACATTCCATTTAACCGATAACAAAAAAAGAGAAAAAAGGAAGTAAGGTCGAGCAACGCTGTAACAACCACCGGTACCATGATGTACGACCTACGAATTTTATTTACATACCTGCGCGAAAAGGCAAACTCGCAAAGTTGCAAGCTCGTTCTGAAAACCAGCGAATTAATTTCGAGCCGCGTTCCGTCAATGAAACACACGTTCGCCGACGAGCAAACGCAAAGTTTCGACGCTGATTAAAAACCTAATTGGAGACGCGCGATACAGACGAAGAATTTAATCACCGCGCGAGCAACGCAGCTGTTACAAACGGTGAAAATTCACATTTAAGGATTGAGTTAAGTTTTCCATTCTTTAATTTCAATCGTATCCGATGTTCCTCGTTATCTGTTACTTTTTTTGTCTTCCTCTTTAAACTTCATACCAAACTGAAGTGATTAGAATTTTTTCCAAACAGTTTCGTCCTGCGTTTTTCTGTCTAGACTAGAGAATTTGAAAGATAATAATTTACTTCTTCAAACTGTACAGGTAAAAACATGCAATTTTTTTCCAGTTACGAAGGTGAGCAAACAAACGGGACAATTTCTTTAAAAAGAAGCGACCTAGGGGGTTTCGTTGTTCGAATAAGCGCGAAACTAACAGTAACATTACATTTGAGGGAGGGAAATTAAATCTCCAGGCCAAGTAAAATTCGTAATCGGTTCGGTATCGTAACGGTTTCGCCAATCCGCGGCATTCCGACGAAACAGTTGCATAAACGTTTATTAGCACGTGACAGAACTATAAAACCGGTAGCAGGGGTTCGTATCGAGACCGGTAACTCCACGCTCTAGTTACTCTCGCTAGCGCATGTACGTTAGAAAAAAAAAAACTAGTTCTCTTGGATAACAAGTGGAACTTTTTAATCAGAAAAATTAGAAGCCACTAGAATTTTTTAATAAATTACGGTTAACTGGTTTGGTTAGTCTGTTGGTTCACGACAGTTCTAAATTAAAATTCAATTAGATTACTTGATTCAAAGATATTTAGTTCTAATATGTTGTCAACCACGAGTTTTATATTTTCTAGTAATAGCGTACAGCTACTACATAGACGTCTTTTGCATAAAATACAAGTGAAATTAAATGCAGAAGAACATTTCAATCGCCAGATTTATCATAATATTTCTTTAATACATAGAAAACTGTTTCTCCGTTCATAATGAAATTTGAAATGCGTGATTGAAAGCCTATCTTTCAAAACTCAAATTCAATGTATCATTTACGACCGAAAAGATATCAACCAGGGATAATTGCTGTCTAATTAAAATCGCAGGGAAGAAGTTGTCGTAAAAATCGCAAAGAAAATATTGTCGTGAAAACGATAAGGAAGAGTATTTTTAATAACATGCTGAAAACTAAAGCCAGATTGATCGAAGGTATATTCTAACGATAGGATTACTTTCTAACTATTTACCAGGGAATCACCGCCATCAGAGTAATCGCACACGACACGGAACTTGAGCAGATTTCTAGGCATCTCCGCGTCCACCAGATCTTCCATAGACTGGGCCAACACAAGGGAGACGTGTGTCCTGTTGGTCTCCCTGTACGCGAAGAAACGAGCATCTTCGTCCTGTAACAGTTACGACTCGTATTAGCACACTGGCACATGCTCGTTCAACGGTAAACACACCATTTCAATATAATTATTTCGTTCATTTAGCAGCATGATGTTCAACGGTAAACGTGACTCGAGCATCATCGTACCGTTCGCTGATGAAACCATACTAACATAATCGTTCTCCCTTTTCACGTTTCAAAACGTAGACAGAAAGCTTTTGTCTTGGACGTTGGCAAAGAGGTCCATACACAGATAATTTGACAGAGCACTTTATTCCTTTATTTTAATAACACACGTAAGCATCAGTGTTTTTATAGGATTATTGTACGAACAATTTTGCTTAAACAAAATGTACAATATTAAGTCAATGATATATTAGTAAGTACACATAGTTGTGCATGTTGTATTACGAGCAAATTTTTATGCATTTACAGAAAATTTACAGGACGCGCGTAACGTTTAAAATTCATATAAAATATAAAATATTTGAAGTAAACTACACATCAAGATACTTAATCAAATTTTCATTTTTCTTGTAAGCTACGTTTATAAAGAATCATTTTTCTTCATAAAATAGATATTTTCACACCAATGTGTTATAATTACAAGCTGTACGATTACGAGTACTATGGAATCAAGAAGTTGATACATTCGATGCGAATGAAGAAGAAAAAAATGAAGTGCTTACTTTATCGACTGGCATTATTGAGATGTGATTTCTCGGATGTGCTTCTAATGACAAAATTTCCGTGCCTCTAGCCAGGTTTTCCGGTACTCTGACGAACTTCAGATACTCCCCAATTGGATAAAACTGACATCCTGTGAACATGTATAAAAAAGAATGAATACATTAATATTAAATATACACGATTTAAAATTGATAATTTTAATAATTTCTTTGATATGGGTTTATTAGAAATCGTAACGATTTCTGTTTTTTCCCACTTGATACGGATTTATAATCGCAGATACAATGATATGATTAACTACGTCTCGCTAAATGTGTGAAGTATAATTAGAAACCAGTTGAATTTCAATTGCAAGTAGAAAGCAATGATAATTTAAAAATAAATAAGAGAAAGAAAGGGAAATTTAATGTAGGCATTTATGAAAGTATACAACACTAGAATTACCGACGATTAAACCATGAAATCTTCATCAAAAAATAGAAAAACTTAATAACACAATGGAGTACATAAGCTTTTATTTATATATTTTACCAAAAATCATTTAAACTTTCAAAAATACATTGTTTTACAGCCATAAAATTGTTAACAAAAATTAAAAATTGGTCATTTTGACTACTTTGGTAGTTTTAGAATTAACACATTCTTTACCCGTAAGTTTGAGAAAAATTATACTACTAATTACTATTTTTACTACTATTACTATTATTATATGTCCTTGGTATTTTAACATATTAGATACTTATTATATATAATTTTATAATTTAAATTATATAATTTTTGACATTTCAGTTGTTCATTTTGTATGCAACTTTGCCCTTCCTTATGAATTATACTAGAGCAGCGGCAGCAGACAGTGATTTTCATTTGGATAATTTAGTTCAGCTGTTGACCGAGATTAAAAAAGTATTTCACGAGTCACGAAAATATTCTTTAACCTAATTCCCGAACGATAACAGAGGAATACTTAAATACCCGTTTTCACGGCTTAAAATAGAACCTAAGAACTAATCAAATACTTTCTAATAGTAATTCTCAATCGTACTTTCCCATTTCCTGCGACTGATTCGTATGAATGTTTTACTTTTTCCTCGCCCATCCGTTACCATTCTTTTTTTTCTTTCAACAAACTAGATTTTCACATTGCGAACATCAACCGGCCAACACGCGAAATAGCACAGCCTGCGCCTATTTAAATGCACGATAGTAACACGTTTCGCGCGAAAACTTTGGGAAATGTAGGGTCCACTTGAGCGAGTGAAAGGACGTCGACTGAATTTGCATGTTGATACGGTTAATTTGGCTACCGACCATTATCGTGATTAAAGCTCAGAGAGCGTGGTGGACAGGTTTGACGCGTTGTACCTTATAACCCGATATATCGTATTTCTTTTATTTATTTTGCTTTCATTTTTCATAGGTCACTGGAATTTGGACTTTCGAATTAGTTCTAATTCTATCGCAGCAAAACGCTACTTTCGAATTTTATACTTTTTGCATACAGAGTGAATACCACCTAAACCGCGATCAGTTAAAATTATTTTGTTGTTGACGAACTGATTAAAAAAATATTTCCCAATGTGAAACAAATAATGTTCAATGATTGCCTTCAGTCTGCCTTTAACTTTTCATTGGCAAAATTTCTCAGACGAGAATTTCTTTATGCCTTATTCTTTCCATCCGATTTAAGGAAATATGATCTTAACAAAGCAACTGAAAAGAAAAAAGATGCAACTACATCGAAGATCACACTGAACACTATTATTTAAATCGGTCTATTCAAAAAAATAATTAAACTTTTATGGAAATTTCTTCCATCGCTGGTATCATTTTTCAATGAACAAGTGACGCTCATTTTGCTTAAGACTGAGATGTTAAATATTGAAAGTTACGTTGCGAGAGATCGAAATCATTCACTTTGCATATGACATTACAGCATTTGGTAATTTAAACGTAATGCTCGATTGTATAATACATCGTTAAGAAAGACGTAACGCATAATAAATACAGCGAGAAAGTAATTAAGCAAAGCGTCCTCGTTATTACGAGACTCGTACATGTTTACAATATTAATAACTCCCATCAAAATAATAGGAACGTATCGTGATTGAAAATTAATAAGCTTGGGATTTCTATTATTACAATTCTGACGGTTTATTAAAGAATATCGATAAATCAAATTCATTAAGTTTCTAGTATTTATTCTGCCACCGATGTTCGCTGAACATTTAACTGGAATGAAATTTCTTCGCTCGACGACTTTCTCAATCTAATTTCTCGAGAATGAAACCTAATCCGAGAACATTTTTTTTCTACTTTAAAAAATACCATGAACCATTATTAGTTTCATCTTCATTAATTATACTTCAATTATACTCTCATCTTATTATGCCTTCGTACACACACACACAAACACAAACAGGTATTGATTCATACATTACAATGAAGAACAGAATTAAGCAAAAAATTAATCAGTGAAGGTTTCACACCACCAGATGAGATCAACTTGATTATGCGACTTTGTTTCACGAAGTCGTCAAAATTTAAAATATAGACAATATTTTATCGAGTGTGCGACTACACAATTCCATCCACCTGTGTACGCGTTACGGCCGATGTTAGGTTCGAGGATAGGTTCAATGTGCTGTAACGCGGGGCAACGTAATCAAGTTTTTCTCGTTGTTCAGGAAGCGTCCGAAAGGTTATCGGCTATCGTCTAGAAACTCACTGGCCGACTCGACTGGTTGCTCGTGTTTAAAGAACGTCTTGAAGTTTCTCGTCTCGACAGTAAAAAGTAACGACAAGCTTTTTGCGCGATGTTTAACGGAGATTTAATATCTTAATCCCTTGTAATTGAGAAGCTCTTCTCGAGAAACGAGAACCTTTTTCTGATTATCGCATCTTTATGATCTACTGACTTTGCTGCGCATGCTTCCACACTGCCGATAATTTTGCTGCAATAACTCATTTAGAAATTACGACGAGTTAACAACAGGTTAAAAGGGAAAAGGACATTTCTCCAGAAACGTCCTTCCTCTGATTATTTTTAATAACCTGCTGATTTCATTGTACAAAGTGATATATCGTTTTTTAAATGTGAATGTCACATTTTTATAATCTATTGACCAAATTGGTCAATTGGTTGTTTATATAATTTCGAAGAAATTCTATGAATATTTTTCGTATAAAATTAGAATAGAGGAGATATTATATGTACCCTGTAGAATTCTTATATTGGAACCTGCTTCTTCCAGTTGCAATTAATATGTTGCAATTGTTAATGGATTAATTTGCGATTTATTTTGTTAATACAATATTTGTTTATTATTTCAACAAATATTGTACACCAGTTTAAAAATTTATCGTGAAATACAGTTTTGATTAAGATTTCAATTACACATTATAACTCTGTCCAAAATTCTCAGAACGAGTTCTACGTTTGTTTCAAAACGAAAAAAATTAGATAACATCCTTTTCATGACAAGAAATTTGTAAAATATTTATAACATATTAACAATTAAGAAATTTTATTATCTCTATAAATATTGTTATTGAAATTTTATTATCTCTATGGATATTGAAAATAAAAAGTGTCGTTAAGACTCGTAGGCGTATCTTTTAATTTACTTGGAGAAGAAATCTTGTATATTTCAAAGATAAATTTATTTAAATTTTATGTTTCAATCGTGTATAATGCGTGTTAATTATATTCTTCAGAACGCAAGAAATAGAACGTGGAATGTTTCATGAGCTATTCAAGATCTAACGTGAATAAAATATTCCACATTTTGTATTGAAAGGTTGAATATGGCAATTACGTGCTAACATTAACTCGCTTCCTCATTTTCATTACATATTGTTTATGCTCTAGTTTTCAAGGACGGCTATAATTATTCAATAACGATTGTGTAAGCAGTTATCTCATCGATTAAATGCAAATCAATTACGTACGATGTGTGAAACGTGTACGAACATGGCATAAGATGAAAAGAAATCGAGTAAAAAACTATGCTCGCCAGTGTCGAAAAGAGGGTCAAGTTCTTTCCTACAAGAAACTAAACTCTCGTGCAAATCTGCGTGCAAAAATTGGTCACTAGTTTTTTTCCAACGAAAGAACTAGCTTTTGCACAAATTTGCCTTTCCTTTTCTTTTTATAACATTTTAAAATGTCTTTAAAATTATTTATGGTCAAAAGAATCATTTCTGTTAAAAATCGAAATTCATCAAAATTCGACAAAAAAAAAGGACATAAAACATTTGAAGATCAACAAAAGATATAGTCATAATATTAAAAACTTAAAAGTTTCTATTATATTTATTCTCTGTATTTGTATTTATCTTAACACTAGAATTATTACTACTTGCATCTGTATAAATCTACAACTTTATAAATGTATAATGTATTTTTAGAGATGTAAATGATTTTTCGTAAAATATATAAATAAAAGTTTGTGTACTCCATTGTACTTCATGAAATTTTTCTACATTTTCTTTTTATTTATTTATACATGTGTAGTCACTTTTTTTTCTTTTTCTTTAATATCTCTACAATTTTCAGTTTTAAACGTCGACAATTCTAGTATTAGATACGCACAATAAGAAAATATTTATACAAAATCTTTGATTAACAATCGGTTCGATCATGCTCCTCACAGAACAAGAAAACTTTCAATCAAATCATCTTAAAAGACTCGAGTAACAAAATAAATTTATTAAACTTCAATTAAACAAGTAAAATGTGTAAGCTCTCTTGGAATTTAATGTCATTCGCGTCGATGCAATCGAAAGATCGAAATACACGGGTTATAACTTCTTCAAAATCAAGCGAGACGACACGGCTGGGAATTTTTGATCGCCTTCTACTGCAACCACGTGTGAAATGGCACCACTGTGCGAAACCGTAGCGACGTCGCGCTTTCGTTCGCGTGGACGCGGCAAAGCGCAGGATTCATATTTCAAGTGGACGCGTTGAATTCAGTTGGCTGGCAAGCCGACTAATTAGCTCGCCCCGGACTGGACGCCAGCGTAAAACATTGTTTCCGACTGCGAAAGGGAAAAGATTCGAGAGACGATACGCGGTCAAGCCGGAGGAAGTTCGCGTCCCACCGTGCCAGATTTTATCTTAATTTATTC